TTTGGTAGCTTTGTAAATGAAAAAAAAAAACATTAATTAGTAGCTCAAAGTCTCAAACACAGTTCCACAAGCGGTAGGGGTTGATCCACGCTTAAACAAGGTCAGGGGTTCGAATCCTGTCTTGTGTATGCAGCTGCGTTAAATCTTAGGACCAGCTATCCCACCCTTTGAGGTGCTTAAACAAGGTCACGGGTTCGAATCCTGCCTTGTGTATGCAGCTGCGTTAAATCTTGGGACCAGCTATCCCACCCTTTGAGGTGCCTCCAACGTAGTGAGGAGATTAGTCACTGCTGTCAGCAGTGGATACTCCAAGGACGAACAAAAAAAAAAACACAGTTCCACAAAAGTAAATTATTTTCAAGCTAACCCATATTTTAGTGAATAATTAGTAAAAAATTATAGTTTAATCAATCATGCACTTAAACTATCAAATGAATAAGGTGTGATAAATTATATGATTTAAGTGTTTATAGAAATAGATAATTTTATTAGTTTATTAAATATCGTACCGTTATATTTTAGTGGAGCTAAACTCCTAGGTCAGTGTCAAGGTTGAATGTGAACTCTTAACTAGTCTGAATTTAATAAATTAACATTTAACAAAACTTGTAAACTTTTTTTTTTTTCACCTCACGTTGTGTTAATATTTAATTTCGTTTTGTTTGTTATCATGTGATATTACATAAATTTTTAATGAAAAATATGAAAATATTTACATTTTAATATTTTTATCATTGATTAATGTATAATTTTCTCATTAATAGTTATCAACAATTAAACTTCTAATTTTTTTAATTTAAAACAAATATTTTATTATTATATTTAATACTTCGTGTTATATCATTGAATAATCTATGTATGTACAAATAATATTCCAAAAAAAATATTTTTTTTCATAGAGTACAAGTGTATTCCATAAGAAACAATATTAATTTGAGTCGGTAAAAACATTAAAAAAGAGAAAGTTCTCTTTCTAAATGTTTAATATTAGGAAGAAAAAGATACTATATGTCTTTCTCTTTAAAAATAAAAAGTTTGAAAATGTCGGAAGTTTAATTAGTGTCGGAAAGTGAAATTTTAGAGATAAAGTTGTTTAAATAAATGACTTAAATGAAATATTTATTATTATTATTATTATTATTATTATTATATATGCATAAATAATATTATGTATAATATTTTATGATAATATTTATTTATTTAAATTTTTTGCATTTGTATTGTTTTTATTTGACTAAATTGTACTTTGATTCTCTATAAAATTAAATTGTAATTTTGGTCTCATTATTTTTAATTTCACAGTTTTAATCCTCTAATTTTATAAAATTTACAGTTTTATTCTCTTCGTTGAATATTTAACTATTGAACATTAAAATTGTAATGTTAGTCATGATTTATCATTAAGTAAATGACATAAGAATTAATATTTAATAATATTTGGACTAAATTTTACTTTTAGTTTTTATTTTTGTTTCATAAAAAATGGTAAAATTATATGAAAATGGGAACTAAATATGCAATTTGGAATAAATGGTATAAAATATCAATTATCGTATCATTTATTTAATATTAAAGCATAACAAATGTTACAATTTTAACAATTAATGGATGAACTTGTGAGAAAAGTGTAATACTGTGCATTTTTATTAATAATTGTTGATTTTATTAATTTAAATGTTGTTGTGACTAGTTGTTTATTAGTTATAAGACCTTAGGGATTTAAGAATTCTCATGAGTTTTAAATTGTTAAGAGTTGTTTTGAGTTGATGTCAGGTTTGACCTATTAAGGGAAAAGTATATAATGTCTTTCTTTAAAAGTGAATTTCATAAGTTCATTTCTCAAATAAAGCTAGAAAGAAGTTAGAGAGAAAAACTATAGTCAAAGTTTCTTCCTCCATCTTTTGAATCTTCTACAGAGTGTAAAAGTCCCTTTCCAAAATCAGTGTGGTTGAACTAAGATTCAAGTCACTAGAGTTGAGAATATGAGTCTCAAAGTTGTCATATGGAACTTTTAGAGGATTCCATTTTCCCTTCCTTCTACCTCGTTTTTGAATGATTTGAGGTAAGAGAAGCTCTTAGATGTTCTTTTTGAATTATTGGTTGAGTTTTTGCTTGGTTTTACATCATTGTAGCTATGTTGTGGTTAAAATCGAGAAGTGGTTTGTTTTCTTGGGGTTTTTGGTATTGGAAGAATAATTGGTGAATTTGACTCATATAGTGGTTGCATGTTTATTTTATTGATGAAAATGGATTGATAATGATGTATAGACACTACTTGGTGCATTGCAGGTTAGGATTTTTTGATTTTCAAGTGAAGGGAGCCAAATCCATGATTCTATTAAGTGTAGAAATCAACATCACATTAGTCACAACTTCAAGGATTCGAGCATGACCAGGCTAAAGGCCTTCTACCTTACTGTTGATGAGCCAGGGATTGATAACATTTGGCGTGAGTTAAGGGAAAGTTCATTAACTTGATCACGTCGGGCGTGGGTTGAGGGTTGGATATGCATGCCTTTAGAACTCTCTAACTTGGTGATGTTGAATCCTAATTGAGTGGTGCCAAGCGTGACCAATACAAAAGCTCTCTACCTAGACGATGTTAGACTCTAGTACTATGACATTAAACATGAGTCTGGTAGAAGCTCTTTGCCCAAATGAGGTTGGGCATGGGTTTAACCATGTCAGGCGCGATTGACGCACATGGGCTTTTTGCCTCATTCACAACGGGCATGGGCGAGTCAGAGACTTTGACCTCAATGACACCGAGTGCGAAAAGAATGACATTGGGTGTGAGATGCTAAATGAAAATGAGTTGTTTATTTGACTAAGTATTGAATATTGTGTGTATAAATGGAAATGCTCACATGTTGTATGTTATTATATGACTTTAATTTCTTATACATTGATATAAGATGATGTATTCAAATATTTAAGTTGTTTAAAGTTGTAATTTGAATGAAAGTTGAGTTGTATGTTGAGAATGCTAAATGCATAGAGTTGAGTTATGTTGCGTTGATTGACTTAAGATTAAATGATAGTTATTATTTTAAAAAATGAATATCCTATCATGAGAATATGGTGTTGTGGTACTTTGAGAGCCTAATTATTGAAAAATCCTTCATGGGAAATTAATTCTTGAAGGGAAATGTTGAGTCTTCTCTATAACCTTAGTTGATATCGTATAAGACCAAGTCGAGTCATATGTATATAAAACGACCAATGTAAAACCAAATGGGGGAAAGGTCAAGCCATACATATACAAAGCGACCAAACCAAGTAAAATACAAGGTTCGGAGCTAAAATCCCTAATTAAGTATTTGTGCAATATTTGGAAGGTAATTCACAGACTAATTGTATAATAGGATTAGTTATGCATGTTAAGGTTGTGGTAATTTCACACCCAAGTTGTCTTAACCTTGATAGGAATATTAAACTTTCTTAGTTTAAGTGGTGAAATTTGAGAAATCATGTTGTGTTGTGAATTTTTATCCAAATTTGTTGTTGATCTAACAAACAAAAAAGGTCGTGTTTAGTTTGTTAGGTAGGGTCTAACCACTTAAATTGCTCACCTATATTTTAAAAAATCTCTTAGTTGAATGTGTGATGATGTCTATAGTTGTTATGTTGTGCATATGATGTGTTAATATGTTGTGTTGTTCATATGCTATGTTGAAATGGTAATAAGTTGCATAGTTGTGTTGTAAGTTAAAAATGTTGTCATGTTGTTAAGTTGTAAAGGTGTGTTGATCTATATTATTAAGTTGTTACCTTAAATGGTTCTTGAATGTTGAGTTATTGAAGTTGTTGTATAGTTAGTTAAATACTTCTATATCATGTTGTTTCTTTTGAAATTCAAGCTTACTTTTGTATGTCTTTACGTGGTTGGATCACAATAATCATACTTATTACGAGAGTAGGTTAAAATAAGTAGAAGGAAAAAGTATGTTTTGGAAGCCATGGTTGAGAATGGTGGTGTTGGTTAGGCTACTCTTATGTAGTTGTCCTATAGTTATTGTGTGAACGACAACAAAGATTTTATGTTTTCAATTGGATTAGTGTGTGTATATACATACACATAAATGTACAAGATTTATAACATAGTTCCCATTAGGAAATTTTTATGTTTTCAATATATATTCTTATAAATATATTATTGCATGTATATCTATGAATGGTTTGAATGATAATCTTAATTTAGATAGAATTATGTTTTTTTACTGCTTTAGTTGTTATGCCATACAGTGTAGGGACTTGTTGAATTGTTAAAAAAAAATCAAAATGACGAATTTTATAAAATTAAAAGATTAAAATAATAGAATTAAAAATATAGATGAAAAAATTTTATATTCAACGTTATAAAAATATAATTTAATCTTTTTATTTTTATTGTTCAAAATTATATTAATCAAATCTTAGACGAATTAAATATATTTTCCTACTTAAAATTTATGATAATTTCATGTTGAATTATTTTAAATACTCCTTCATCAAAATTCATAAATTTAACTTTCATCTAGCTGATGCTCCATGAAATCAGTTTTTTTTTTTTTTAATGCTTAAGCTGTTTTTTTTAGAGAGGATTTTAATTTAAATTTTTAGTCACTTATAATATATAAAAAAATTCATAAATTTAAAATTACTGGATAAGAAACTACTGTAATAATTAACACGAGCATGGCGTGTAAGTTGTGTGGAACTGCGGAAGCATCGTTAGGACACGAGACAGTACAATGCTGAATTTAAAGCAAACAAAAGTGGACCCACACCCACGCTGTCGGCACAGTCACATTAAATCAGTATTTATTTATTTACTTTTTAAAATATTACTAATATTTTTCCTAAAGACTTTGAAGTTTGTGAAAAATATTTATGGATCTATACAAAAATATACTGTAATTAGAAATTAGAATATATAATAAAAGCTCCTTCAGGGACAAATATAATAATAATTTATAATATTAACCTTACCTTGCTTTCTCATTTCTTTTCACTCTCCTACATGTCACTGTTTCCTGCACCCAACACAAACAACGTCGTTTTCCTCGTATCGTGTCCGTTTACGCTGAATCATGAAAACAAAACAAGATCCACCACACTGCTCGCTAATCACGCTCACGCCCATGGAGATTCTCAAAACCTCTTCCTTCGTTAGACTCACCGCGCTCGCGCTCTTCTCCCTCACCCTCTTCCTCCTCCTCTTCACGCGCTTCTCCCCCGCGCCTCCTTCCTCCCTCCTCTTCTTCTCCTCCTCCGCCGCAGCACCCTCGCCGGAGCAACCTCCGCCTCCGCCGGGGAAGAAGGCGTTCCCCGTGCCTCCGCTGCCGGCGGTGGAGCGGATGGGCGTGCTGGACGGCAACGGCGTCATGACGGAGGATTTCCGGGTGGGGGAGGTGGGTCCTGCGTTCGACCAGGCTTTGCTAAACGGTGGCGTTTCGAGGGGGGGTGAGGGTGGTGGTGGTGTGAGAGAGAAGGTGGAGAAGTTGAAGGTGTGTGATGCGAGGATGGTGGATTATGTGCCGTGTTTGGATAATTCTGAAGCGGTGGAGAAGTTGATGGGGGGCGTCAGAGGGGAGAAGTACGAGCGCCATTGTCCGGAGGAAGGGATGGGCCTCCATTGTTTGGTGCCGCCGCCCTCGGGCTACCGGAGGCCCATTCCTTGGCCCAGAAGCAGAGACGAGGTACTTTTCGGGTTCGGACTCTGTAAGTTTTTTGTTTCTTTGTGGAAGGGTCTTTTCTTTTTATGTCTTGTCTTCTTTAGGTGGTGAACGCATTGGTGAGCAATGAGGGTGCTAGTTAAGGAATTAAAAGTGGTAAATTTTCGTGGGGAGGTATTTAGTATTAGTATTACCAATGCAGCCTTTTTAATTTGTTAGTTCTTTAAACAATGCACTTATTAGTGGGGAGCTTTTATTTAAGGAGAAATGCATGACTTGTTGAAATACTTGGAGCCATTTGGGTACATCTTAGAAGAAGAGTTGTCCAGAGCTTCTCTACCGAAAATAGAGAGTATTTTCTTGAAGAAAAACTCTTAAAAGCTCTTCTAAACTTGTATCCAAACATACTCTTGGTATATGTTTGAATACAAGATTAGAAGAGTTTTTGAGAGCTTCTTTTTACTGGAGATAAAGAACCATTTTCGGTAGAGAAGCTCTGAGAAACTCTTTTAAGCATGTACCCAAATAGGTTCTTACCGTATGTTTCAACTATAAGCAGAAGATGAGAAACTAGTGGTAGTTGATAGAAACTTAATTGTTAGTTAAGAGTAACGGATTTTTTTAAATCTGAACCTTCATCATTACGATAATCCAGAAAAGAAATTTCTTCTTATGGATTCTTGAGCACTAGTGAGGAGAGTAGATTACATAATTTTGGGTCCTGTGAAAGATGAGAAGGAGACCAAGAAGGACTTTGGAAGAAATTGTTAATAGGGATTGTACGAATTCCTGACAATTTGGTTTTTAATTGAGCTTAATGGGGTCAGTTATGTGAACTATGTAGCCACTAGCCAACATTACCTAGTGGGATAAGTCTTAATTAGATGCTCTGGGTGCAGAATCTGATTTTGTGGTTAACCTGCTGAATTTTGATTTAACAAACTCATGAAATTTAAATTTTAAATCGTGTGGCACTTTTCAATTGGTTTGGATTGGGAAGAAAGGGTTTGCTAAATTATATGCATTTACTTACAGATTTGGTTCAGTAATGTACCCCATACACGTTTGGTTGAAGATAAAGGTGGCCAAAATTGGATATCAATAAAGAAGGATAAATTTGTTTTTCCTGGTGGTGGAACTCAATTTATACATGGTGCCGATAAATACTTGGATCAGATTTCTGAGGTTGGTCTGGTATTCAAATTCGTTCTGATATATGTTGCTAACATACTGAGAGCAGTTTTGAAATTGAATGTGCAGATGGTTCCTGACATTGAATTTGGTAGCAATATCAGAGTTGCTTTAGACATTGGCTGTGGAGTGGCAAGTTTTGGCGCCTTTTTGATGCAGCGTAACGTGACCACTCTTTCGATAGCACCAAAAGATGTTCATGAAAATCAGATTCAGTTTGCTCTTGAGCGTGGTGTGCCTGCCATGGTAGCAGTATTTGCTACACACCGTTTGTTGTTCCCAAGCCAGGCATTTGACCTGATCCATTGTTCAAGATGCAGAATTAATTGGACTCGTGATGGTACTTCCTCTCTTCGTTTAAACTTTTCAACTCTCACTGCTTGTCCCCTAGCATTTCCTAGTTTTTAGAAGTTCGTGTGAAAGCATAAATTCTCTGTTGTTGTTGTTTCACCATCAGCAATGTGACCAAAACAATTTACACAAGTAATTGAGCTACCAATGGAATGGATTGGTGATAGAATATTAAGTATACTCGAAAAAATATATATGGTAAAGAAAGACAATATAATACTCAGGCACATGTCTACACCACTGGCAATGAAAGGTAATGGCGGTGCTCTAGTTGACCTTTCCTTTCTGTGGAGGAAACCGGCTTTGAATATTTGATGATTTGCTTTGAATGTTGGAGGATTGAAGCTAGGAGCAACTAAGGTTGAAGAAAAAGTCAAATAGGAATTACAATTTCTTGTTTAATAACTTGTTTCTTGACTTCTATAATTTTGGCCCTCTCATTTCTTAATTCTTGGATCTCCTGATTGTCTTGCAAAATGAATTGTTGTGCTGTGTGAGATGACAACATTGTTCTTTTAAGTTTTGAACTTTCTCTAGATTTCTTCATTTTTTGACTCAATGAATTTAAGAAAAGATAGATAAAAGTACAATCACAATTATGCTCAAAGATTTTAGTTCTTTATACTGATGTTCTGTTTTATTTGGCTTTAATGGAGATGGAATTTTGCTTCTTGAGGCCAACAGGCTCCTGAGGGCAGGTGGCTACTTTGTCTGGGCAGCACAGCCGGTTTACAAACACGAAGAGAGTCTTCAAGAACAATGGAAAGGTAGCTCATAATTTCTGTGTTTACCAGAACAGTAGTACATCTTTCGATAGGTTTATTGTTATTTGTTGATAGATACTGAATTGTTAGTGGTCTACTATTTTCAACCTTTATTCTTTCTGTGATTTATACTCTAAAATCATATGGTATCAAATGGCCTAAAACTTTATATACCGAGATGAGATATTTAGTTTTAAACACCATCATCTTTGTACTAAACAGAAATGGAGAACCTGACAGCTCGCATTTGTTGGGAACTTGTACGAAAGGAGGGTTATATTGCTATATGGCGGAAACCTATGAACAATAGCTGCTACCTTAGTCGTGAGACTGCTGTGCATCCTCCATTATGTGAGTCCAATGATGATCCAGATAATGTTTGGTATGACCCCACTATATATTGTTTAATTCATCTATGTTATATATCTCATTTGTGGTCATGATTACTTGAACTGGAATGTGATGGCTAAGAAGAGTCAAAGATGTTAAAGATTGATTGTCATCCCCAAGAAAGTTTCCTGAAAGTTATAGTGAAGAACTGTTGCAATTTCTGCCTTCTATATGGTTCATATTATCATAGTTTGGCTGGTCAATTAGAATATTGTGCCTGCATTTCGTCATAATGCATTTTTTTTCTTCCTTCCAAATTTGTCTTTCCATTTTTATACTAGTAACATTATAGCCTTAAAAAAGAGAAAAAGAAAAACCTGATTAATTTAATATTTATAAAAATTGTTTCGAGATGAGTCTGGCTAGAAAGAATCTACTCTGGATGAGCTAGAACCTTCTTGAAGAATCAATAACTAACTTCTGGACATGCTACAAAAAATTAGATGGTCTGGAACATCTTGAGTAATAAACTAGACAAAGCTTTAATGTTTTGAATTATGTTAATTAAACAAATATCAGTACTTGTTATAACCACAACATTTTGCAGGTATGTTGGTCTTAAGGCATGCATTAGTCAATTACCAAGTAATGGATATGGAGCAAATGTTACAAAGTGGCCTTTGCGCCTTCATCAACCACCAAAAAGGCTCTATAGCATCCAATTGGATGCCATCATATCCAGAGATGAACTCATTAAAGCTGAATCAAAATATTGGTATGAAATAATAGAAAGTTATGTTCGGGCTTTTCGGTGGCAGGAGTACAACCTAAGAAATGTAATGGACATGAGAGCAGGATTTGGAGGGTATGGGAGTATTACATTTCTTGATTTCCTTTTGTTTTTTGTTTTTACAGTTATTAGGTTTATGTACAATGATTGTCTGACCTTTCTGTTATCTGTGTGTATTATGACGAAACTTTCACTTTGATAACTGCAGGGTTGCTGCTGCACTGCATGATCTCCAGATTGACTGTTGGGTTATGAATGTTGTTCCTGTTAATGGATTTAATACCTTGCCTGTTATATATGACCGAGGGCTGATAGGAGTTATGCATGATTGGTATGAGAAATTTGCTTGTATATTTGTTGAGTTATTTTTAATCTGATCTGATTTGATTGGTGATTTCATACTGAATGAAGTTACCATGGTAACAGCATAATTATCTAAGATTGGCATGTGAAATCAGAGGGCCTTATTGGTTTCTGGTGTAAGAAAAAGGGTCAAGTTCCATAAAATTTGTTCTAGAATATTATTTTTCAGAAAAGCATGTGGAAAATGATTGAAACAGTCTTGAACTATATTCACTATTTGTTGATATTGTTTAATCTTGCATGAAAATGACCAGATCATGTCTGGGGTTGGTACCATTCGTAACTGTTCTCTGCAAACATACATGATACATACTTCTTCATGATTTTCATTTTAGCAAGGTTACATTAGTAAAACTGATATGTAAATTTGCCTTTTTGTTTTATCTGTGTGGGTTGAGAGCACATTGTAACTTGTAAGAATTCAAAGTCCATTACACAATACCTAGCACCACTTATTTATTCATTTGTTTGAGCATAATAAGCAATTAAGCACATATTGGCATAATGAGATCTAAACTATAAGAGATCAATGAATCTACTGCAGTAGTTAATTTATTCATTTGTTTGTTCTCCTTTTGAAACCAGATGCTTAATATTTTCATGCATCTCCTTGTACTTTCTTAATTTTGACTATGAGTATTGAGTAGGGAATTTATCCTGAACTTCGAATTCTTTTCACCTTGACAGGTGTGAACCATTTGATACATACCCTAGAACATATGATCTGCTGCATGCAGCAGGTCTCTTCACCGTTGAAAAAAAGAGGTGTGTCATGAGTCATCACACTATACTTGTTTCTCTATAGGCATCTGCCATTATTGGTGTTTGATAAATTGTTTATTTGTTTCAGGCAAAAGTGTAACATCTCAACCATTATGCTTGAGATGGATCGGATGCTAAGACCAGGTGGGCGTGTATATATACGCGACACCACACTTGTTATTGGTGAACTTGAAGAAACTGCAACTGCAATGGGATGGTCAAGTTCCATAAATGATGTAGGAGAGGGTCCCTACTCAAGCTGGAAGATACTAAGGTCTGAGAAACCGTTCTGAATTGCTCAATTGTGCCAGTAACTAATAGAACACCATATGTTAAGGTCTCATGCAACCGGAACATGGTACTCCACCTGATATCTCACATAGTGCCAGAGATATGGCCAAAACTAACCCATGTATTTTGTAAAAAGAGAAAAAAATCGTCTATATGACAGAAATGGTCTTTGTTAGAATTTGAATTCATACTAACAAGTTTTCTTGCAAACACTTGAAAAAAAAGTGTTTGCTTTGTATCAACCACTACAGCATTACTAGATATGTTTAGACTTTAGATGATAATTTTGTTTATTTGGTTCTCGTGTAAGCTTAAGTTATTGTGTAGACTAAATCAAATGCTGGAAATTTGTTTATTATGTGACAGAAAGCTTCACCTGTAATATGATCTGATCCCTCCCACCAGCTTGGGTTTGAAATCCGTTATGTACTTATGTTTGTTGTTGTGACAAGATGGCCGAATATTCCAATTCATAAGCATGTGCTAATAACAATACCATTTTGTGATTCCACATGACCATATCCGGATGTCATTATGGATTTATGGATGTGTTGGAAAAAGGATCAAATAAAGTGGAACCAAATGTAATGATATCATATTTCATTGTTTTGATTGTTTAAAACTGAATGGAATGAAATTGATTTTGATGAAATTCATTGTATTTCATTTTCTTTAATGTTTCTCTTCTCTTTC